ACAGGAAGGTCATGTATTTCTGTGGGTTATCAATCTTTTCGAAAATTACTTAATTTTTAAATATATAAAGAAAACAAGAAGAAAATTAATTTTAGAAAAAAACATATTTAAATAATAAAATTTCGTTATGTTTGTCGCATAACAATAATGGAAGATAGAGAATAACTATATTAAATTATTCTTAACACTTTTTAGAAAATACATTTGTGAATATGGTCTATGATGGTATTCAGCCATCAGATGGGAGGATGCTGTGAGAACCTACCTGTGTGTGCTGCGTTGACCATCTGCTATACGCAGCTGTTTCCAAACAGTTCCCCACCGATACCATCCTTTGGGCTCGCCTCTCTTTTATATATTATATTTACCTAAGTATTTATTTAACTAATATTTATTAAAGTGCATGATGTATGAGGGAGCTGTATGATAAATGAGGGACATAAACGTCACAAAAAATTTGAGCAACGGGTAGTACAATTAATCGAACAGTTGTAGTGTTGCCCAAAATCGGTCTTGGTCTTGCACTTTGCAACTCTGGTAAAAAAAAATATCGTTTTTGTGAATTAAAATTAAGGGAAAATAGTTAGTAATACTCAGCAATTTTACTTACTATAAGTAAACTATTGGTATCAACAAAATACTCTCCTAATACTAACTCTTCCAATTTTTCATTTGGCTTAGTAAAGTTTCCACTACCTTAAACATTACACTAATATCTAATATAGTAATTGAAGACTATGGCGATACTCTTGCGCAAGACCAAGACCCATATCAAGACAGAGTGCGCAAAACCAAGACACTCGTATTTGTAAAATGGAGGTTAGGTATTCGCCTAGTATATATATAAATTTTAATTTTATGTTATTTAATTGTAATACATTTTTTTCAAATGCCGTCTTTTTCCATTAATTCTGAATCTTCATATTTATTTTTCTATGAAGCAGTGTGATGAACCATTCCGTAATATCTGGAAGAAATAAAATTATCCACTACTATGATTAGTGTTGCCCAAATGCGAGACAGAGACGAGTCTTGGTCTTCCAAACTCAGTCTTGGTCATCGTCTTGGTCTTGCGCAAGTGTCTCGCAACAGTCTTGCAGTTGCTTATTAGCCTATTACTGTAGAAATATTCCTGTAATTTTTTAAATAGGAGAAACATAACTAAGCCCGAATGAAAAATTAGAGGAGTTAAATGCAAAAGTATATTGTTTATACCAATTTTTTACATATAGTAACTAAGATTGCCAAGTATTAGTAACTATTTGGCTTAATATTTATTATAAAAATCGACTTTTTTTACCAGTCCTTGTCTTGATCTTTCAACAGTTAGGCGGCCTTGGTCGTGGTGATTTTGGGCAACACTAACCATGATGATGGTGCAGTCGTATTTTATTGTTTCCACTCTTATCATTTTTTAGTATTCCCTAATTTATCTATTTGTACGACTATTCCCCAAAGGCATAATTATTTAATTTCTGAAATATCTCTGTATTTTTTATCAGTAAAATAAGGATTTGACAATTAATAAAAAATTTATAAAACAATTTAAGTAAGAATATAAAAATTGTTACAAAAATGTAAAAAAAAATATGAATTTCTTGAACAACCAAAAAAATCTTGTTGAACAACCAAACCAGATTAGTTAAGATAGGAAACATACAAAAAATGATCTATTATTGTTTTCATAAGCCATTTACCACAACCTTATCTTTATTGATTAGTAATATCTTAAAAATGTAAAAAGTAATTATATTAATTATTTAATATTTAATAATATACATCCTAATCATACACATACGTACAGATACATACACATGTATAGTAATGGGTTAGAGCGATAATGGCTGAAAGAGGAGCCTGCCTCGTTAGCCGGTTCCTCTTAATTGCGGCCTACAGATTTATGTGCCATCCTAATTCGCCCCCCCCCCCTCTCGGTCTCTCCTTACATACGGCTCTTCTCGTACCCTTGGGCCATCGCACTTCTTCTATTTCTGTGGGCCTCTCGGAATCCCTTTCGGGTTTTACTCATTCCTTCTACGCACATTCTTACGTTATCTTAATGAAGTCGTTGAACGAGATGAAAAAATGAAATACCTCAGAATTTTTTCGATTAGATTATTTTTTCATTATCTAATTAAATACAGATTTAACTATAAGAAGAACATATTATGATAAAGACCTACGAAGCAACTCTGAAGGACTTTATATAAAATTTCGATTTTTTAATATAAAATTTTTCTTAATAATGTAATACATTTTAGGATGTTGGAAGTATCTAAACGTACGAAACCGTTATTTAATCATACCATATTTTTTTTTATATCCATAAAATGTTTAAAAAGGATTTTATTATATTTACATTTTTTTTTTCATACAGAATTAGTGTTGCCCTATATCGGTCTTGGTCTAAGACCAAGACCAAGGGCGGCCAACTGTTGCAAAACCAAGACCAGGACTGGTAAAAAAAAACATTTTAAAAAAAATAACAATTAAGGCAAAATATTTACTAATATTTCACAATCTTAGTTGCTATATGTTAATAATTGGTATAATCAATAAGTATATTGATTGATATAAGTATCAATAAGTATAAGTATATTAAATGCAAAAGTATTTGCATTTAACTGCTCTAATTTTTCATTCGGTCTTAGTTAGGTTTCTCCTATCTAAAAAATTACTGTAATATCTCTGTAGTAATAAGCTAATAAGTAACTGCAAGACTGTTGCGAGACTCTTGCGCAAGACCAAGACCATGACAACACTGAGTTTGCAAGACCAATACTCGTCTCCATCTCGCATTTGGGCAACACTATACAGAATACGTCATTATTTTCATTTATTTATTTAGAATAAATTATTCTGTTTGTATTCTTTTTCTTTTTCTGAAATATAATTGGAATTATAATTACTATCAAGGCAAAAATAATAATGATATTATAACAGGATCTGAATTATAACTTAATAAAGTAATATTTTAAAGGGCCCATTACAAATTTTAATATATCTGTACCTTGGAGGTAAAAAACACCATGTCCAATTTTGTATTTGTTCAAAGGAGCATATGTTCCGTAATTTTGAGCTATTAAAATTTATTTTTAACAACTATGTCATATTTTTGTAGTTGCTCAGAGAGCTAATTTTCGGTAATTTTTCGTAATTTCTTTATCCTCAAAATGTCTATCCTTTGCACAACGTTGGAAAATATAATTTTTTAAAATATATTCATTACTGAAGCTGAACCATAATGTTTAAGTAAGCCACTACATTGTGAAAGATTGATCTTAATTTCTTCCAATTTATTTTTGAAAATTTTTTAAGACTGATTTTTCTGATCAACCTATCAATATTATTTTTATTACTCATTGAATTTAGTAATATTTTTTTTTTCCTTTTGTTTCAGGTAAATCATTTTGATACATCATATGATACATTGATACATCAACAACATAGAAAAACTGAAAGTGAGTAGCGAATCCCGTTTAAATAAATTTAAAACTTAGCTCCAGTGAAACTGTTACTTCTTGTATTAATGTGTACAACCGCTCCCGGCTAAAACGATAACAATCCCAGGATAATAAAATACACTTAATATTCACAGTCCAACTCATACTCGAAAATTTTGATAAGAATTTTGTTTATTATGTTTCAACCCTTATCTGTTTACAACAAATAATAATATGTTATAATTAATATAAAAGTTTTTAAAGTGATTATATTGAATGAATAAAATTAATTAATAATGACCGATTTTGAAACTAGTAATTTTTTAATAATTACTAATAATAATAATACTAATTAAAATTATTTATTTCTATCATTTATTTGAGAAATAATACATTTGGCCCCACCTTAGAGCATTGAGTATTAGAGCTTTGTAACATTCAAAAAATATTTATTATTAAAAATAGGGGTATTTTATATTCTTTGTTTGACAAGTTTTATTAAATTTTCTCTAGAAATGATTCAATTATTCCCAAAGTGAACCGATATTTTTGACAAATTAGTACCTATATAAACATACCGATTTTGTATTTTTCAAAAACGAACCTAAATATAATTAAAAATGGTGTGAACGTAAGTTAATTTCCAAAATTGATTTATTTTTTTAAAGAAATGTAATGATATTTATATTCTCTAGTATAAAAACAAAAATAATCCATCAAAAGCCTTTTTAACCTTTTTATTTGAACTAAAATTAAAAATTATTTTATTTTATTGTATCATTATTGTAAACAAATACGTTAAATTTTTATAGTATAAATACGATAAATTTTTTCCTTCAAATTACACATAATTTTTTTTCTTTCCGAAACAAAACTCCTACCAACTTCTTATATCCCAAAGGGCCTTGAAATTTAATTCGCTCCAAATGCGGTCCTTTTTAATTTCCAATGTTTTTAAGTAAATCTAAAATAACAGTTTTTTTTCTTTTCATGTGTTATAATTTTTCTTTTGTTTTTGTTAATGTATATAAACATACGTCTCACATAACTCTGATACATAATGCCTTGAAGTGAGGCAAAATATATTATTTCCTAATACTAATTTATCTATTGGTTTTGATATTGCTGGAAATGTATGAAATAAACTTGGAATCGAAAATATAGGTTTGAGCGTTTTCTGGAAATTTATCAATGATAATTAAAAGAGTTCACGTTGGAAATAAATGACTCATATATTGAATAAAGCTTTATTTTTTTTAATCTAAAATATCAGTAATAGTAGGGAATATCGAATAAGTAAGGCTCTGTTTCATGTGTGTTACTCATGTAGGGTCCTCTACGTAAAATAATTCATTTTATGTTTTAAAATAATTTATATTTTGACGCTGGTGCATTTATATACTGTTTAAATTTAACAATATATTTTTCTCTTAACAAGACGATAATTTTTTTTCATTTTGGGCCATAAATAATTTTTCTTCAATTTCGTTGTATTCCATAATATATCTTGTTGACTTCACTAAATTATTTTTTTATTTTATTACAAATTTAAAACAATATTTATTAACAGCATTTATTTATTAACAACAAGAAAATAAAATATTAGAACCGGAAGTATAGATGTTTCCAATACGATGAAGCGAGATTCCAGAACGAAGGGGATGCTAGTGACGTCATAAGTGGCATTTGTCCACGTCACCGTTGGGCCAATGGAGTCACGTGATGAGACTTGCCAAGGGTCCTGGATGGGGGGTGTGACATCTCCCCTCAAACGGTAATGGCTCCCCTTCAATAACATTGTCGACCTGGAACAATATAGCACACTATATAACTCTCAAAGTGTTTGTGTAGAGTTCGTTCGTATATTGTATAAACAAGACATTACTGTTAAAGCTTATGGGAAATTATACAATATGATTCTATAATTTGTAAAACAATTTATATATTTTTAATAATTGTAAAGCAAGGTAATACATTTGTAATTAATTTATAACATATAAATATTCATTAGAGAAAATTATTAATAATTTTAATAAATTTATAATTAAGTCTTAACACGCGATTTCGGGTAAACGTCAAGAACAGCAAACAATATTTATATTAATTAACAAATGAAGCCTAAACTATGTCAGTAAAGTAATTATTCAACCACTAAAACAGTAATGTGATTTTCCCGAAATACTTAAATTTGTTTCAATAAAATGTATAATAAATTTATTAAAATAATCGTATAAATGTCATCTTTAATTATATCTGGATTTTAATTAAATTTCTCATTCAATTAATATATTTTATTTTAACTTTGTTTATATATAGATATATATATATATATATATATATATATATATATATATATATATATATATAGACTTCATTTTCATATGAATTTTTTTAGTTCTAAATATATTTAGGTAGGTTAATGATAATTTATCATGAATTCCTAGGTACATCGCAAAATATATAGTTTAAAAAAATACACACTAATTTTTTTTATTTGTTTATTTAGAAATATTACATTCTGTCACAATCAAGGACAATATAATACACATGATTAACGTTTTCAAGTGAAATAGGAGCAGCAGTTCTGAAAATGTCCTTTCCATGTTTCAATTTCATAAAAATGTTTAATGAAAAGTAAACATTTTCTTTACTTTTTGAAAAAAAAATCATGTATTATTTAATTACATATATTATAAAAATTGTACTTTTTGAATCACAGTTTTCTAAATATTGAAACATATCTCATTAGGAACAAAGACGCAACTGTAAAATTTTGTAAGAATGTTTATCTTCTTAAATTACCACTATTATGCAATTAACCAAATCAAAGTTATCGTATAATATAAGCAAAATTTTAATGGATAGACGATTTTTACACTGGTAAAATGATTTTTAAAAATTATGTTTATTATATGAGCCTTTCAGATGACAGAATGACTAACTCCAATTTCAACATTTTTTATTTTTTATTTTAGTCATATTTCTAATAGAAAATTTACACCTTTATTCAAAGTTCTATATTTCAACAATACAATCAACAATTCTGGAATCAACTTACTCAATGTCTTTACAGATATTATAGGTTTTCCAACTAGAAAAATCCCTAAAATGACTTTACTCAAAAATATTGAAATTTGAGCTAATAATTCTGTCAACTGAAAGGCACATATAAAAATAATTCTAATTATTCTGCCTCTCCTATGAAATTATATGATTTGAAATTAGGTCATCGTACCAGCGGGTATGTTCTATTATCCAAAACCTTGGTATTTATTTCTAACTACGTTTTGGATTTGGTTTACCCTCGGGTTTAGTTTCATAAAGACTAAAATTACCTCTGATTATTAACGACTGGATGAGGTAGGTTTCTGATTTAGCAGTATTAAGGTTGTTAGCATTGTATACCAACTTGATGGTGAAGGTTGACCTTGTCCCTTCATGTCGACATATAGAGATGGATTTACTTTACTGATCATTCCTTCGTTTACGGCACGTTCTATATTTTTACCTTTGCTTTCCGAGACCGGTAGACGAAGGAAGGGGAAAATCCAGCACACAGGGCAGGGAGCATCCCTCGGGAACGAGCCTGGATATCCTGGAGGCGCGCAGTTCCAATTACACGGGTGCCTGGACTCAGGTGCGCCGCTGAGGATGCGCAAGAGCAGTCTTGGGAAACTAATAACTTAGAGCGTGTCTTCCCTCTGGGCCCGTCTGTCAAACTTTTATCTCTCGAGGGCTCGGTGTCTGACTGTGTCTCCCGGAGTCTGTCTGCTCCGGATCGATCGCATTTCCAGATCTGGAAGATTAAGACGGGAATAGTGTGTTGTCAGATGCGAAAAAAAAGAAGTTAAAATCATCTGTTATTAGCTTTTTTTAAAACATTTAATCCAAAAAAGACTGATTAAAAAAAAACGAATTATGACTATAAATATCATATTTTGCAACCTCTGCAAGTTACTTTAAGTATTTTAAATTGCATTTTACACTGTCTAAATGATCTATTTTATACAAAACGACATAACTTTTTTTATTATTTCTTAGTGATATTTACATCTGTAACAAATAAATACATCTAATAAATTTCAACCTATGGATATAATGACATGAAAACACTTGCCGAGTAACTACCCAATGGTAGCACTCTAATGATATGTCTACATTAGGAGATCACCTGGCTATTTTCTCTTCAGACATCTCGGAGGGTTATCAGGAATTGAAGAGGAAGCAAGGTTAGAAACGAGTGGGTTGGGATGATTCTGAAGTTTATTATGGAAGGATTGGTATCTGGATCGGGCCAGATCTGAAACATAAGAAACATTAAGGTCATTATGGATGGTTTTACTTGTAACAAAGTAGGGAGCATTCAGGATTTTACGAAGGATTAGATCACGTGAGGAAGAGAGGACGCCCGTCGGCAGACTGGAACAAGGAGATGAAGAAGACCTGCGGAGGAGCAGCCTGGAAGAAAGTAGCATTGGAGAGGAAACGGATGGGACAGGTTCATTACCTAGTGTGGTTGCTGATCCTGGGTAGAACATGAGCTCTATATTTATACGTATCTTACTTAAGGTTTTTGAATAAGTGCTACAGTATTTCCACAAGTTCAGCCCTGCCTGGAATAAAAGAAATAAAAAAAAAATATATAAAAAAAAACACTGCAAATTATTACACAATGGTTTATTATTTCCAAACAATTATACATATAAAGTAACTTTACCTGCCTAGTTACAAAGAAAAATAAATGCATACAAAAAAAAAATATGTTATTAAAAATAGCATTACTTCAGTAACACATTCAAAATTAAAAAAAAAAAAAACAAAGGATATAACATTTGCAGTAGAACATAAAAAAAAAAAAAAAAACTAGAGACCATATAATTGCTCCTAATTCTCCAATTTTAACGATTTTTTTTTTGTTTTTAAGGAAACTTTTAAATAACCATACAATACCTGCAAAAAATTTATACTTTTTGAGTTATTCGGAATTTAATTTTACCATCCCTCTTAACTTTTTTTCCAGCTCCGTTTCGTTGAAGTATATTATATAGATAAATTTAAACGACGTTGAGAAAATGACTTTAGCGAAGTTTCATTGAAATCGGTGCATTCGTTTAGGTGCTGTCTATAACAAGCCAGGTTTTCCGGCCGCCATTTTGAAAGTAAAAGGCGGATAGTAATGTCGATGAAGGAGGATCATCCTCGGGTGACCTTTGATTTTATATCCAAATTTGAAAAACATCGGTTTAGTAGTTTCGGAGAAAATGCGCGGACGGCGGACGGACAAAAAAAATTGTATTTATTTTTCGAATGGTACGTATCCTGAAACGTGAAACCTCAAATTTTGAGAGGGAGTTAAGTTTTTGAATTTTTTGGTTGATCACAATGGTTAGTTATTGAAAATATAAAACAAAAAAAAAACTGTACTATAAGCCATGAAGGGTTTTACGTTCAGTACTATTTAGGCAAAGTACTGGTTCTTATTGTCACTGATTATGAACGATTGTAGGTAATACTTAGTTTTCAAAATATTTATTTCTTAATTGTTATTTTATCCAGATTGTATAGGAATATATTTTGAATCTAGTTATTACTATTATTTATGGACATCAAGTGAATATTTTGATTAATAAAAATATCTAGCAATATAAATAATGGTAGGATTCATTCGAAATTAAAAAAAAATATTTCCAACAACTTCGTTAACCTTAGTTAAGTAAATAAATAGTTATTTCAGAAATAGCAAAAAAATAGTAAAATAATATTTTGATTGAATTTGAGCTAAATTGGTATACTTTTTGTAATCTTGCAATTAGTTTAGTAAAGATGTATCAATTTGTCGATACGACCTTTTAAAAAAAAATAAACATTCCGAATTTGGCATGATTGTTCAATAATTAAATATTGATTTAATTTTATACACACACACACACACACACATATGTATATATATATATATATATTTTTTTTTTTTTTTTTTTTAACGACATAGAAAAATTACTGGTTTGTACAATAAACGAATTTCGAATATCAAAACAGATTCAAACCAGAACCTATTCATATGCTCGCGAACATGGGATGACGCCTAGGAAGTGGGGTTCCGCCGAAAGTGGGAGCCAACACCTTCGGTATCGCGGCTTCCAATCTACACGGCCGGAAGTTGAGCGGAACTGTTCCAGCTCCGGCCGTGTAGTGATCGATCATATTTTTTTTTGTACTGTTTCTACAAGCTTTTAGTTAAAAAAAAAAAATAATAAAAAAAAAATGTGTCACTGTTTCCCAACAGCACGGCCGTAGATGGCTATCTCCTCCACAAGGACTGGGTTCAATGTCACTGTTACGGGAGGCTGATTCCACATAGTTAATTACCATTAAAGAAATTATAATACTGTATTATACAATTTGTAAACATTGCAAAACTAAAATTCGATATTGTTTAGGTAAAAGAAAATTATTTTAAGATATTATTATATATTCCGAAAAGATTACCGTATCACTTTGACATAGAATTAAGTGTTTAGAGGAATCACAGAACAACCTAACTGTTTTAAAGAGACTAAATGTTACTCCGGAGCAGGAGGGGATTGAAAATCGCCTTTTCGAAAATAGGCGAAATATTCGAGCGTCTAAGTTGGGAAGCACTGGTAATGTCGAACATGAAAATAATATGGGCGATAGTAAGCCTGTTAAACAGCATTTACTACCCAGTATCACCGAAAATTCAAGCCATCTTGGATAAAGAGCTTGATGAAATGCTTGATGAAGGTATTGTAGAGCCATCACACAGTGCCTGGTCATCTCCTGTTGTTTTGGTCAAGAAACCCGATGGATCCTATCGTTCCTGCTTAGATTACCGCCAGTTAAATTTCATGACTAAAAGGGATGCCTACCCGCTCCCCTACGTTTCAAATATCTTGGATAGGTTATGATGGAAAATATTGTTTTCCATCGACATAAAAAGCTCTTACTGCCAGATACCGATGGCTACAGCAAGCAAAGAAAAGGCCGCATTTAATAAGAGATCGTATTATCGAAAGATGTAGCTTACCTAAAGCTTTTGAATAACTGCTACAGTATTTTATAATTTTTCGGTCTCCTACAAGTTCAGCCTTGCCTGGAAAATAAATAAATATATATATATATATATATATATACATTAATTAACTCATTAACATTAATTGAAATGAAAATATTTTTTTATATTGGCACTGATTATGTATGATTGTAGCTAATAATTACTTTTTAAAATATTTGTTTCTTAATCCTTATTTTATTCATATTGTATAGGAATAAGTTTTGAATCTAGTTATTACTGTTATTTATGGATATCAAATGTGTTATATATATATATATATATATATATATATATATATATATATATATATATATATATATATATATATATATATATATATATATATATATATATTGTTTTTTTTTGTTTTGTTTTTAATTATATACATTGGTCGATTTCTAATGGAATTGAAATATCTATATTATTAATTGAATATTTAAAAAAATCGGCCACACTCAAGGGAAATAAGCATTAGAGCTAAAAGTAATAACTCGTACAATGTACTCATACAAGAAAAATAAATGAAGGTAATTAAGAACAAATTAAAATTTAAAAAATAAAACAAAGTCAATAAAAATGAACGAAGTATAAAATAATAATTAGCAGTAATAAAGAAAGTATACCGATACATGTAAAAAATATATGACGTATTAATACTGAAACTTGTGCAGTAGTCGATTGGCTTCTGTTTGGCACTAAGGCTCCTGTCTAGTACATTTCATCCCGTTCATCTCATTGCGTCGGAACAAGTCAACATCCAAAAGAGTAGTGATGGTCTACACCATTTTTAATAAGATGTCAAATTAATTTACAATCTACCAACATGTTTAAATAGATATTTTGTTGACCCAAATTTGATAGGCATCGGAAATGAAATCGGCCCCAAGACCTAATAACATACCAGTTTTTGATGTCACACTTACATATTTATATAATTGAGAATTTCAGTTTTCAGAATGACCAACTTCAATTTCAACATTTTTTATTAAAGTCATTTTAGTTATATTAATAATTCGAAAATTTATAACATCTGTACATACAGTGAGTAAGTTGATTCCAGATTAGGTGATTGTAGTGTTGAAATATAGAACTGTGAATAAAGGTATACATTTTTCGACTAGGAATATAACTAAAATTAATAATAAAAAATGTTGAAATTGGAGTTAGTCATTCTGTCAACTGGAAGGCTCAATAAATACACTCGTATATTTCGATAAATAAATAAAAATCATATAAAATTACACTATAGTGAAATTATTAGATCAAACTATGTCGATAGGATGGAAAGAACTCGAAGTAACTAATTCAATAATTATCGAATTATTTTTAGAATACTTTGACACTGTAAATTCGATCCCATCCAAAATGAGACTAGCATCAACCGACTCTAAATAATATAAAACTCACTTGAAATATTTTATAGAACTGGAAAGCTTTATCACAAAGTTGTAAACAAATGCTACGGTGCACAAGGACGCTCAAACTCAAGGAAAACTAGGTCAGACCGGAAAAGAAGTGCGGTATACTGAGCGTTCTTCGCCGATGCCCTAGCAGTCACTGAGAATACTAACCGGGCTTTATAGGAGTTTAGTATGTTACCCATTTCGGCTTATCAGATGGTTGTATAAGTTTAAGAATAATGGATTTCATAATAGGATAAGGAAATGCTCTCCTCAAGGATAAATTCACGTATATTAACATGTTTTACAAAAGTAGGCGTGTCTTATTTCAGATATTTTAATATCAGTCCTATAAGTTCTTTCTTTTTTCCTTATTTGTTGTTTAAAATTGAGTGTGTTATATATGAACCGTTCTGCTCTATTTCCTTCTTCCATCCCTCAGAAATCTTGCCATATCTAAGTATAGTTTTTGATATATTTTTGTTTATCGCTTAAAAAAATGCCATAATGCAGCGCGCAGATAACTGGGAATTAATAGTCTAAAACAGGTGAAGATGTACATGGCTGGTTAAGGCGGCAAAAGATCTATAGAAGGGTCTGAAAAGCCAAAAGAAGAAAAAATAAATTAAATAAAATGATTCTAAAAAAATTACGTTCAAAGTGGCAGTTACTCAATGGATTCATATTCAGAAAACAGCGTGAATATACTAACAAAAATAACACTGTGTTATTTATGAACCGTTCCCCTATATTACCTTCTTCCATCTCTCAGGGAGCCTCTTATACCATTTTTCAAAATTGTTTGGACTTCGTTGCAAACTATTCATCGAGATAAATTTTTATTTCGCTTTCGAATTTATGACATTTATCACGGAGAGAATTTTTTAAAGAAAGAAACAAGTAATAATCGGATGGGGCAAGGTCTGAAGAATACGGAGGATGAGGTAATCCGAATCATCTATTACCTAGTGTCTGTTTTACGACCAATATAGCTAATAAAGCCAATTTATTTTGTGTTGGTCGTAAACAGAGATGGGCAAGTGATACTCTGAGTACTGAGTACCAAGTATTTTGCTCAAAAACTTATCTTTTTTTGAGTACCAAACTATTAACTGAAGTAGTGATTCAATTCCAAATAGTGATTTAATTTGAGTAAAATACTAACTACACGGTACTAAGAGCAGCAATTGTACATTCTTAAAATAGAAACTCTCTTAGAAAGTTTGATTGGAGCTTTCTCCCTCGTCCTTCGTATTCTCCAGACTTTGCCCCATCCGATTGTTAATTGTATCTTTCTTTGAAAACTTTTTCCGCTATAAATGTAACAAATCCGAAAGCTAAATGAAAACGCATATCGATGAATATTTTGCGTGTAACTCTCAACAATTCAGGATAAGAGATTTCCTAATAAAGCAGAACGTCTCATATGTATTACAGTAAATCAATCTTTTTATTAATTTATTTAGTTTCCATTAAATTTGCCACTACGTTGTAACGCATCAAGCAAGTGTGTTGAAGTTTATTCTATCTTATTGAATTCTTGATATTTTCTTAACTTTTCAGCTGAAGATATCTAGGTCGCTGCCTTTTTAGTTATCTTTGAAGCCCACCAGGGAGGAAGATAGAGATAGAACGAGTGGATTTTGATGGTTGAGAGTAGAAGAATGAAATGTTGTGTACTTGTTTTGTATGTAGGATTTTACTTTTGGTATTGGATTTTACTTTGGATTGTGTGGTTTGAATTTCGTTTATGTGTGTGTGTTTTACGGAATCCCAAAATTCTGCTCCGTATGTTACTAGATACTAGATAGTAAGACCTATTTGAACATATGGTGGTGTAGATTAGTCCCCGCTTGTTTAGTAAGTTGAGTGGAGATCTGTAGTCCAAAAGATGTGACAGTTGTTTGTATCGTCTGGTCAGTTCTTGTTTTTTTTTTAATTTAGTGTGAAATCAATCTTAAACTTCAAATAAAGAAAAAGGAAAGAAATTATGGTAAAACCTAATATTTATTCGTAATATATTGTTAAATATGATTTTAAAAACAAATTTGGTTTCTTAGTCGTATGCTGGGATTACTTTTGTTTACGTTGGTATCCACGCTGTTATCTGTTATCTGACGGATTTGATTAGGTTGTATCCAATGAGAAATTACTTCCTGAAAAGTATTTTTTTTAAAAATAATTTTTCTTCTTTTTTCTTTACAGAGCCTATAGAACTTTTCCCATCTTAACCAGCCGTCTCCATCTTTAAATGTTTTAGTCTATTTCTTTACAGTTACAGTAGTATTGTAGCATTCCTTATAAAGGAAAAAAAAAATTCAAAAACTATACTTAGAATTCACAATTACAACTTGTCGTATCAAATCCTTCATTGCAGTCACTCGTCATCTCATCTACTCCGCGACGAACTCCCGACTACCCTCTCATGAATATTTACCATTGTTCCATTAATTGTAGGGAGATGGTATTGAATTAGATGAGGACCATGTGAGGGGGTGGTTACTTTCATTTATCGGGTTTTCCAATTACGACGGCACAACTGGGAGGGATACAGATAGAGAGGGAGTGAGAGGGGGAGAGGCGCGCGCAGTCATGACTTCGCCGCTAGTCGCGTGCTCGCTCAGTCGCAAGTCGCAATCCGGGTCGCAAGTCATGTCGCTGGTAACGTCGGTAAAGTGACGTCGGCTTCCACCGTTGGGTGTCATGGCTTTCTACCTCAGGAGGAAGAA